TCACTTAAGCCATAGCTCCAGCCCTTTTTGCTCTGGTTATTTGGAAATAGGGTCTCACTTTTTTTCCCAGGCAAAAATTTCCATTTTATATTTTCAACATACCTGGGATGACAGGTACATGCCACCATGCCCCGCTTTTCTTTTCATCGCGAGGGGGGGTGCCTCAAACTTTTTTTTTGCATGGACTGGCTGGAAACTATGATGCTTCCCTTTCAGCCTCCCAAGTAGCTAGGATTACAGCATGTGCCACTGGCACCTGACAGCAAGAAGTAATTCTTAACTAGTATTTATCATGAACTAAGCATATGAGTAACACACATTTATTCCCTCAATTATTCCTCACAATAAACTTAGAAAGAAATTATTATTTTCTTATAATAAATGATGAAAGAAACACAGAGAGAAGCTATGTGAGTTGACCAAGGTCACACTACAGGCCAGGAAGCAGAGGCCAGATTCTCCAGGCAGGCATATTGTAGCAACAGCTTTATAGCACATATCATTAGTCCTGACATTAAGTTTCTACTGAACATATTAACAGGAATATGAATATCACAACGATTTTAAGAATTTTAAAAAACTACCAGCTTGAAAAAAATAAGCTAAAGAGGCTTTTCCTGGTTGCAATGTACTAAAATATTTCTGAGGAGTCAGATCTGGCAAAGAATCTTCAGTTGACTTGTAAACAATGCACATCATGACAAAAGAGATCCCAACTCTAAATACACTGAAGCCGGAAGACATCATGAGCTATAGTTGTATATGAGCAGGAGATGTTGTCTGTTTTGTTCACTGCTAGCTTCTGTTGCCTAGGACAATACCTAGCACAGAGAAGATGTTCAACAAAGTTTTGTTAAATGTATGAAGTTAAGTCTACAGTGAAAAAAGCCTTTACTTATTTTTTTTTATTTTGTTATAACTTTATTTCCTCCTAGTAAATATCTGAGAGGGAATGATATATAGTGACATTGATTTGATAATACCTATTGTTTTTTGTGGGCAGAATCAGACTCAGGACCTCACACTTAGGCAAGTGCTCTGACACTTGAGGCATATCCCAGCCCTTTTTAATTTAGTTTGTTTTTCAGATAGGATCTGGAGATTTTGCACAAGCCAGCCTTAGACTGTGACCCTACTACCTCTGTCTCCCAAGTAGCTGGGATTTCAGTGTGCACTGTGGTGACACAAGCTATTCTATTGATTTTTTTGTTGGTAGTGGTGGTACCAGAGGTTGAACTCACGGCTTCATGGATGATAGGCAAGCACTCTACAACTGAGTTACATCCCTAGCACAGTGTATCGGTTTCTGATCATTGCAAAAGAAATAAAAATATCTGGAAAATGCATAACTACAATACCTTAAGTTCACAGATATTTACTGGGGTATGCTAAGCTAACTGTCATTTTAGAAATTAATAAGACCTAATCCTCAACATCTACCCATTTTTTTTAAACTGGGCATTTTATTTTCACCTGTCTCCAAATTAATTTACAATAAGTACTCAAATAGTTACTTGATATCATGAAGAATGGGAATGAGCCATTCAAATAGTCTATTTATGCTTAGTTTTTATTTTAAATATCCTAGAAGATACTATTAAACTACACAAAAACATTTAAATGAATATATTTCTATGCTTAGGACTTATATCTACCTACACACTTAAGTTTTTTCAACTCATATTTTGATGCAATGCCTACTTTCTGAACTTGGATTTGGTTTAGACCTTCTCCCTCTCATCTTCCCTGGTGTACTTACTTCCATGCTCCCTGTGAATGTGCTATTGATTCTCTTTTCAAAAAATTTTCAATTTTTTCTTGAACAACTGAGGGAAGCTCTTCTACTGATGATCTATCTAAGTATAAAAGAAAATAGTTTTGGAAAATTAGTAAACATAAAAATATGGTTGTTGTAGAAGGTAAAGAATTTTAAGTTTTCTAATTTCACATGGGACCATGTTTCAAACACAAGATCACTACTTCAAAATAGGAAATAAAAACAGCAAGGATTATTTCTATGTAAGAATAAGAAGGATATAATTTTTCAGCAAAAAATAAAATGATAAAAGAATGATTTCATGGAGAAATCATAATAAATTGCATACATCCTCTGGTCATTTGATATTATCAATTAGTGCCTAATACTTCTCCCTAGAGAGCAAGTATTCCTATAAAAGAAGCTAACTATTAATTGATTACTTAAATAAACCCATTCATTAGAGCTAATTTATATTAGTTTTTTAAAAGTACCATTATTTATTTTTATTATGAGTCAAAAGTTCAAAAACTCACGGTAAAATGAGAAGTGAGAACTATGAGAGGTAGATAAAAATGTAATTTTAATGATATAATTAAGGGGTATCCTTGACATTAAAATTGATTATATAGTATAGCTTTTTTTAAACCACCCTATTTTAAAGCCACTTTATATTAATGGAGATGTTTTAAAATAGGTCATTCTCTATTTTCTTTATATTCTGGAGGAAAATGCAAGCATTCCTGAGGCTAAAAGACTCATATAGTTATAACATATAGTTATTTCAATGATAAAACAGCTATAACCTAATTAAGCCAAAAACATTAGGTAAAAGCTTCAAGTATAAAATACCATTTTTCCTTGCCTTGAGGTTACAATTAAGGGTTTTTTATCCAGTTCTAGGATTTTAACTCAGGGCTTTGCACTTGCTAAGCAGATGCTCTATCGCTTGAGCTATACCTCCAGCCCAAAATTCAGTTATTTAAATTGGACATTAGGGTTAACACATTTTTTTTCCCTAAAAGATCTAACCAGACAGCCAATGTCTGAATACTTTCCCACATCTTCTACCTCATTAGACAAATGAGATTAAACATGTGAAAGTACAGTGCATTTGGTCAATTAGAGACATTAGTAATTATTACATGATTTTACAGATTGGAAGTCAGTAGCGATCTCTGTTGTTTGTTCTTTGATAAGATTTGATTATCTAAAAAATTATTTAAAGCAGCTGGATGCCTGTGGCTTATGCCTATAATATTAGCTACTTGGAAGGCTGAGATCAAGAGGATCATGGTTCTAGGCCAATCTGGGCAAAACAAATTCATGAGACTCCCATCTCAACCCAAAAAAGCTGGGTGTGGTAGTGCACATCTGTCATCCTAGCTATGGTTGAAAGCATAAAATAGAAGGATCACAGTCCAGGCCAGCCTTGGCAAAAAGTGAGACCAAACCAGAGCAAAAAGGACTGGAGGCATGGCTCAAGCTACAGAAATACTAGCAAGCAAGTTCAAATTCCAGTACTCAAAAAAAAAAAAAAAAAAAAAACTTTAAGTCAGAGAGGCAGCTGGAGCTCATCATAAGAACCACAGTTACAAGGGTGAGAAGACAGAAAGTAAGGGAACACACAGGATGAAAAAGAGAACTAAATTTTCATCTTTCACAAGCCAAAAACCAAATTTATGAAAACAGAAAAGTCAAAGCAATGCAGGAAGCTCTGAGTTCATATCCTAGTACCACCAAAAAAAAAAAAAAAGGCAATTTTTTCTAAAGAAGAAGAAATTAGTGGCAAGGGCAGATACCAAGTGGGCTTTTGAAGTCTTATACAACCATCTCCTTAAACTATCTCATTTTGATTTAAAATTATTACTTGAATGTAATCAAAGCATCCGTAGCTTCTACTAATATTAATCCAATCTACTCTGTCGGACCAGAGAAGCATGGACAAAGCACATGCATGGAAATTAAATGGATTTGTCCAGAGGCATGCCCTCCATATGTAAAGATCTTTAACTAGGCCAGAATGGTGACAAACAATTATAATCTCTGCACTTGGGAAGCTGAGATAAAAAAATCACAAGGTCAAGGCTAGACTGGGCTACACAGTGAGACCCTGTCTCAAAACAACACAACAAAAAGTATCTTAAACTAAAGAGAATGGAAAATGGGTGCAGAAAGAGCCTATCAACAAGCACAGAGTGAAAATAGACACAGAAGGAACTGGGTGACTTTTTTTTCCTCCAATAATTAGAAAAGGAAATAGAAAGCACTACTTAATGCTTTAAAAATCTAAACACCAAAACAGAGTGATGAGAACTTTGGGTTGCAGTTCTCTTTGTAGGTGGAAGGCAGGCTCTCTTCACCCTCCACCTCTGGTGAAGTTGATCACAGTCACCATGTAACTTACTGTATACAAAAAAAAAAAAAAAAGAGGAAAAGAGGCATGTCTCTTTTAGGCAACAATTTTTTGTGGTACTGGGGACTGAACTCAGTGCCCCACACTCTACAACTTTACTCATGTCCCCAGCCCTAATTTTTCAGAAAATTAGGGTCTGGCAATTTTTCCCAGTCAGGCCTTGGACAGTGATCTTCCTACCTCCCCCTCCCCAGTAGTTGGGATCACAGGCTTGTGTGCCACCATGCCAGGCCCTCAGGTAACAATTTTAACAGCTATTGTGTGATAAGATAAGTTTTATTTCTTCTGCCACAATAACTAGAAATGCTTAAATAGTGGCTACTCAGCATGAGTACAACACAGAGAACCTCAGTTGATATGTAATGAGCATGTGACAAAAGTAAGAAACAATGCTTGCTATTTTAAGCCACGGAGATTTGAGGAGTTATTATTGTAGTCTATGTTCATCAAAATACAAACAAGAAATGAGATGCTGACTTAACAAAAACTCCAAAACACTGGCTCAGGGGCCAAGCAGCATTCAAGCTGTTCTGGGCCTACTCAAGGACATTTATCAGAGACTGGAGCTCAGCAAGTGATCTACATGACAATACTGTTGCTCAGTACTTTGGAGGTGATGCATACCTAATGAATTTGTAATGAACATGTATCTAGATTCTTGCAGCTAATGGGCTTATTTATAGCAATGAGAAGAGACTGGGAAACAGATTAATACTGTGTGATCAGAGATTGAAAAATCTACCCTAAAATTCATTTGGAAACACAAGAGACTGCGAATAGCCAAGGCAATACTCAGCAAAAAGAGCAATGCTGAAGGTATCACAATACCTGACTTCAAACCATATTACAAAGCAATAGCAATAAAAACAGCATGGTACTGCACAAAAAAAGACATGAAGACCAGTGGAACAGAATGAGAATCCAGATATGAATCCACACAACTATACCCACCTCATTTTTGACAAAGGTGCCAAAAATATACAATGGAGAAAAGACAGCCTCTTCAAAAATGTTGCTGGGAAAATTGGTTACCTGTCTGCAAGAAACTGAAACTAGATCCATGTCTATCACCCTGTACTAGTATCAACTCAAAATGGATCAAGGACCTAAATATCAGACCTGAAAGTCTGAAGTTACTACTATAGGAAGGAGCAGGAAACACTCTGGAACAAATAGGTATAGGCAAAGACTTCCTCAATAGAACCCCAGCAGCCCAGCAACTAAGAGAAAGGATGAATAAGTGGGACTTCATAAAATTAAAAAGCTTCTGCACAACAAAAGAAATGGTCTCTAAACTGAAAAGACCACTCACAGAGTGGGAGAAAATATTTGCCAGTTATACATCAGACAAGGGACTAATAACCAGAATAAACAGGGAACTTAAGAAACTAAACTCTCCTAAACTCAATGAACCAATACAGAAATGGGCAACTAAACTAAACAGAACTTTTTCAAAAGAAGAAATTCAAATGGCCAAAAAACACATGAAAAAATGCTCACCATCTCTAGCCATAAAGGAAATGCAAATCAAAACTACACTAAGATTCCACCTTACCCCTGTTAGAATAGCCATCATCAAAAATACCACCAACAACATGTGTTGGCGAGGATGTGGGAAAAAAAGAACCCTAATCCACTGCTGGTGGGAATGCAAGAAGGTGCAACCACTCTGGGAAAAAATTTGGAGACTTTTAAAAATCTAAACATACACCCTCCATATGATCCAGCAATCCCACTCCTGGGGATATACCCAAAGGAATGCAACATAGGTTACTCCAGAGGCACCTGCACACCCATGTTTATTGCAGCACTATTCACAATAGCCAAGATATGGAAACAACCAAGATGCCCCACTGCTGATGAATGGATCAAGAAAATGTGGTACTTGTACACAATGGAATTTTACTCAGCCATGAAAAAATGAAATCTTATCATTTGCAGGTAAATGGATGGAACTGGAGAACACCATTCTGAGCAAGGTCAGCCAGGCTCAGAAGACCAAACATCAAATGTTCTCCCTCATCTGCAAACTTTAGATTGAGAGCAAATGCAGCAATGTGGTTGGACTTGGATCACAAGACAAGGGGAAAGAACATACGGGAGATATAGGAATAGGTAGAAAACCCAAAACATGAAAGCGTTTGATGTCCCCACTCAGTAGAACTAATATAGAAAACTTAAAACGACAAGTTATCGTGAGGAGGGGATCAGGAACCAACATAAAGATCAGTTAGAGTTGAATCAACATGGGTCATAATACATGGGTACACAAAAGCAACAGTAGGAATCTCTCTGTATAGCTATCCTTAACTCAACTAGCAAAAATGCTTTGTCTTCCTTATTATGCTTATGTCTTTTCTTCAACAAAATCAGTGATAAGGGCAGAACGGGACCTGCCTGGAACTGAGGGGAGGAGGGGGAAAGGGTGGAGGAGGGCAGCAGGGTAGAGAAATGACCCAAACAATGTACGCACATGTAAATAAATGAACAAGAAAAAAAAAAAAAGAAATACCATTCAGCAAATCATCAAAAGATAAAATAGTACTGAATGACCAAAGTCCCTTCAAGACATGGCCAAAATTACATTTTTACAAAAGATATATTTATGCAATTTTTCTTCTGTAAAAAAGGCTTATAACTTCATGTATACAGCAATGATCACCTAGCTAGTAAATAATTCCTTTTTCAGTTACCAATCTGGAAAGGAGAAAGTCCCAAACTATGCTGTACAGTGAAAATAAAATTAATGGGGATATTTAAAAAAAAAATACTGTGTGGTGGTTGTTGGTTAAAAGAAATTCAAGAAAGAAGTGCCATCCAAAAGACTAGCTGTCCAAAACCTACAACAATCTGTAGGCCTACACCCTTATATGGTCAAGGAAGCAGGCTGACCAAACTGGTCAGCCACAAAGAGGCCATGTTTTCCAAAACCAATTTTGGATGTGGCCAAGGACAACAAAAATGGCCAGACCTCTCACAAGGCAAAGTGAAAGACCATGGAGAACTATGCCCAAGAACTGTGCAGAGTAAGAACTATTTGTTCCTGGTCTATAATGCAATAAATATTGTGAAACTGAGGTTCTCTGAAGAAGCTGCATCCATATTCAAGATCCTACAGAGTGCTTGATCATGTCTGAGTACAGCATGGTTACTGTGTTGTAGGTCAAAAGCAAAAATTATCTTGTGCTACCTGAAGCCCCTTTAAATAGCCACTTTCTATCCACCTTTGTATCTAACATGCTCTTAACTTTGGAATGTACTGCTAAGCTTAATATACCTAGCCTCCATCAACCCTAAATCTAGGAATGTAATAAAGACAACATCTAAATCCTACAGACATCCCTGCCTTGCTGTAGCCTGTCTTCCTGATGACCCCACCTATGTATTTTGTAAACACACTAATTCATGACTTTGCGGGGGGAACATGTAATCTTTTCCATAGTTAGATTAGTATTCACAAGACATGGTCACTCATATTTGGCTCAGAATAAACAATTGTTTTTATTCCTTAAAGAATAGCTGATATTTTTATACCAACAACATAGACATTGAGTGCAAATGTTTAGATGGTTTTACAGAAATTTTATAAAGTAATCTGATACCTGTTTAATAACTATTTTAAAGTAGGGGTTGCAATACGAAGTTTCCTTTTTCCCATGATTCATTTTTGTTATATTTATCAAATATTCAAAGTAGATGGGATTAAAAAAAAAAAAACAAAAAACAGCCTAAAGAACCCAGGGAACAGGATTTAGAGCCCTAGCAAGATCTGCCCACAGAGACTTCAACTGTGGATTACTATAGTCTACAATCTGGTATGTACCTTCCATTCTTTCCCAAATGGAAACACCAACCTGTCCCTACACTACTCCATACATTCAACAAGGTGCAGGAGACTGTAAAGAAATTACTGCTTCTGTACATTACTCAGAGATTCTGCATTTTAAGCTTGATGCAATGACGGAGGATGGATTCCACTAGAAGAGTCAAGTATAAATTGCATGTAGGATGAAGAGTATTTGTGGACATGAAGTCTGGACTGTCCAAATGTTTCCAGTTCTCTATACATGCTAAAAATTATACTTCCCAACTTCCTTGAGTTAGGTATGGAATGAATTTGGCCAATGAAATGTGAAAAATGACACACATGACTTCTGGAAGCTTCTAAGAGTCAGTATTAATGAGTTAAGAATCATGACAAGCTTTCCCTCCACTATGATGACTGGCAACACTCACATTGAGGCCTTCTCTGTCAGTCCAAGTCCCAGAAAAAGAACAACATAGAGCAAAGCTCCTAGCTTACCCAGTGTGAAGATAAAACAAACCTTCTATTAAATTCCTAAAGTTTCGTTGGAGTTGTTATCACAATATAACTCAACCTAGCCCTATTGCTATGCCTGTCTTACAATGAGTAATAGGAGAGTGACTTGAACACTCTCCTAGATTTTTAAAACAGGTACTTCAAAGAATTCACAAGAAATTGAACCAATTCCATTATAGGAAGATTCTAAAAGGAAACACAACTCTTTAAAATTCAAGTGACTGTTACTACAACAGGTGCCAAGACTAAAAGAAAGGAGTAGTCATAGGCAAGTGTTTGTCATAGCATGCTTGACATACATACCACCCAACTTTCAGCCTGGAAGGGGACCTTCTATTCTTCAGTATAATGCTTGTGTAAGCACTAATCAGAGTTCGCATACAAGATGTGACTTTTATTTCATCCCTAACCTCTGAACAAGTATGCATTCAAAAGACAGAAATAACGACTTGTAACTAAAAAGGTAACAGATACTGCAAGAGTGGGTCTGGAAGGCTATAGCACACAAAAAAATGCAAATAAAATGTGGATGGCAGCAAAAGTGTTTTCTGTTCAGCACCCAGAAAATTAAGAAAGCCCCCAGATGGCATAAAAGAGGAAGTACCAAGAGAAAAACACTGCTCTTCCTGTTAGTGAGGAGAGGAGGTAAAGATCTGCCTTTATAATTTCATTGAGGGAGGGAAAGAGGGGATGTTACAGGGACAGCTGGTAGTAGTCTTTAGCCAGACCAATCTCATTTTGGGATTGGGTCCTGTATACAATAATATGCAGTTCTTCTGATTTAAATGCAGGAAGACTATTGTGCTAGAGTAATCTACCCTCTCTGAGCAACAGTATTCAACCTTGCTGTACTTGGACTCATTTAAATTTTAGAATATCTGGTAGCAAGCTTTTCTAAAAGAACCTTGATGAATTTCCCCTTTATAGGCTTAAAAATCCCTTACTAACTATAAAATTGATGGTTTTCATGTCAAGAAAAAAGGAAGTTAGCAACTATAACTACTAGATAAATTATACTTTGATTTGTCTGTGGCAAAATATGTTAAGTATTTAAACTTGAACCTGGTAAATAGTACATGCTTAACAAATTTCAAGTATTATTATTATTTCATAACAGAAATTTAACATTGTTACTCATGTTCAGTGATGTCATTGTATTTTGTGACTCAGAAAATTTTCTGTTGTATGGCATGATTTTGGTTTGGTTAATAAAATGTTTGGATAAAGAAAAAAGATCTGTGGGTATCATTCTCTAGGGAAAGACACATCTCATAATTTGCAACAAATGGAGCATTTAGTGCTTACAAAGTTCCTGTAAGAACATTCTGTCCAAAATTAGCTTATTTACAGTTAGATGCTGTTACTCCAGAACAGAACCTGCTCACTAAACCAGTCTCAAATAAAATGTTGATTAGATCTCAAGATAGTTTATTATTAAAGACCCAAGGGAGGCAATAAAAGGAGCCAACATGTCACCACTTCAACATGTCCTTCAAAGCAGATGGGAAGAAAATCCTCTATCTGAAAACTCTACACTCATCCCCCAAAAAGGAAGAAGAAAGGAAGAGACTGTCCAGACTTGCTCTGACACATGGGGAAAAGCAGTCTCACAACCAAAGACCTAAAATTAGTATTAGTACGATCCAGATTTTGTTAGCCATCACTTTGAACAGAGACTATAGAAGAAAAACAAAACCCTCTTCACGATAAAAGACTATTCATGAAGGAAGACACTGGTCACTGGCCTGATTAACTCCATTTTTGTCCCTCTGTATTTTATTTTTGTGTCTTTTTTTTCCCCTCCAGAGTTTCTCCCTTTTGCAGTCACCTTGGATTACACAGATGACAGGACTGATAAACATCATTATGATAAGGGGCAGAAAATACCCCCAAGCAACAGCAATAACAACTCCTCTGGAACCTGTTGTAAAACCAGAACTGAAATATGATTGATCAGACCACTGGCCTGACCAAGATTACCTGCTGTGTCAGCTAAGCTTATTTCAAGCCCCACCTTTTTAATTTTAAATATTCCTTTCTTTCTTTCCTTATTTATTTTGTGTGGAACTGGGGTTTGAACTCAGGGCCTCATGCTTGCTAGGCAGCTGCTCTACCACTTGAGTCATGCCCCTAGCTTTTCCACCCCCTTTTCTATAAGATCTCAGAGTTCCTGTTAGCCCCCTGAAGATGGACTTGGGATCATTGAACCTCTTTATGCACTGGAAAGCCATATTTGATTAAATCGCCTTTATCTGCTCTTCACCACTACCCATCTCTTTAACTGGCACTGGCATACTGGAATGGGTGCTGAGCCTAGTCTGTTGGAACTTTCTCAGAGCCCAGGCTTTTGCCCTAAAATTCCAATAACATCCATGGCCTGAAATTTGCACCTCCTTGATAACAGAAGATGCACAAATAGGCCATGCCAGAAAATAAGCAGCACCCTTGCTTTTGACAAGTGTCTAATCACATTCTCTTAAGAGTCCATGAGGTGATGCTGTTAAATTCCAATAAATATGGGGTCCTTAACTTCTTACAGAAAGACATATTCTACTGTGCACTGCCCACCCTGCTCAGCTGAATGCTTCATCTGAGGATGTCTATGAAACAGTGCCAGCCCTGCACAACTAGAAAGAACTCAACTGCACCAATATCTGGCAGCTGGTGAGCTACTAGCCCAGATTGTGGAGTACAAAACAGACTTTAAATTCCTGTGGAATGCGTGGCTAGCAAAAAAGAGAGCAACCCTCTTCCTAGGCAAAGCACAGGACAAAGGATAGTGAGTTAGGAAGGGCAGGAACTTGGTTATTCCAGTACATACAAGAGGCTTTCACAAGGATACTGAATTTGTGATGGCAGTTCATTCTAAAGAGAACACGAATTATTTCCTGTGGATTTTGCACTACTTTGATCATTTTATTACTAAATACAAAAGTCAACAAATATTGTGTGCCGACGTTGGGATATCTATTTATTTCTTGCTTGGTTACAGCAGTAGCATGACATTTATTTTATGTCTCCGTTCCGGGTCTGGAATAGCGCCACTATCTCCTATATACAGGATTAAGGATTCAACACATGTGGAATTTAATGAGTATATCTCATTCTACTTCTTCCTTTCCAATAATCAAAGACAGCTCTGTTACTGTCTTTCTCCCCAAACTTATGCACAGAGCATTTTTCCAAATTATAAATTTCAAAGAACCACCTTCCCCTTACAGATCGCTTCGACATCCATCTGATTTTAATACCACCTCTCCTTCAGGGTCATTTCCCGAGCATCCTCACTCAATTCCCTCGCTCGCGTGTTTCCTACTTCTCACACTGCGAGAAAAAAAAAAGAAGTAAAATGACACTCAGAAAGGTCCGGCTGAGCCCCCCACCCCTAATGCCCCAAAACAGGTGCACTTAAGTCAGAATCCAGAGCTTGGCGGCGGTGCAACCCTTGCTAGAGGAAACCCGCCGGGTCTGAAGCGCTTTCCTGCAGGTAGAAACTACAACATCAAACCGAAGGACCCGGGATGCCACCTTACCTGACCGAGACCTGCGTCCAAGACCTGCGTGCAGGGACCTGGGCCGTCCCTGCGGCCGACAGTTGTCGCCACCCCAGACCCAGGAGGAGGGGAAAGGCGGGGCAGCGCGGGGCCCTCCAGGCAGCGAGCAAGCGACGCCTACCTGGGAGGGCACAGCTCCCCCGCCCTCCTGCCTGCGGCCTCCACCCCCTCAGCAGAATCGGACTTCCTAGGCAAAAAACAAGCCCTGAAGCTCCTCCTTCTCCTCGTGCTTCTTACGTAAGGGATTCTCCAACCAATCAGAAGGGTAGTAGGCGAGGCAAGCGCCGCCCCAGGAGACAGACGACTACAGAGTCGTCCCGCCGGCGCGCGGACAGTGCAGTTGCTGGGCCAATCAGCAGCGTGGGTGGGGAGTGCAGCGGAGGGAGAAAGCGAAGAAAGCGAAGGCCCAATTAGATTGCACAATTCTGGAGTGACGGGTCCTGCGATCTGTAGTCTTCCGAGCACGGCGCTCAGGGGGCGTGCTCGCCTGAACCAATCGGTGCCGGCCCACGGTGCGGAGCGAGCGCCTCAAATGCTCGGGTTTCTCAGCTGATTGTCTCCAGCCGAGAGTTGTTTTTTGCTGCTAAGGAGCGGAGCCGCAGCAGGAGGAGCCGAGACCCCCCCCGGGGGGGAGGGGGGACGGAGGAAAAGAGGCGGGGTCGGGGAGGTGGGGAGGGGTGGGGGAAGCCGCGGCTGCTCTGCACGGGGCTCCAGGTCCTGTCACGGTGCTCCTGGGGGCTGGAGGTTGGGGTGGGTGGGGGGGTAAGGGGCCAATCCTTCTGCCCCTGGACAGCGGCTCGCAGTCCGGCCGCTTCCTTCCCGCGCTCCCTGGCCAGTCCCCCAACCCCCACATGAGGGTGTCAGTGCCGGGTCCGGCGGCCGCCGCCGCCGCCGCCCCCACGGCCGGCCGCGAAGCCCTGACGCCCGGCGGAGGCGGAGGCGCCGTCGCTGCCGCCTCGGGCGCCGCGGTGCCCGGCTCGGTGCAGCTGGCGCTGAGCGTCCTGCACGCCCTGCTGTACGCCGCGCTCTTCGCCTTTGCCTACCTGCAGCTGTGGCGGCTGCTCCTGTACCGCGAGCGCCGGCTGAGTTACCAGAGCCTCTGCCTCTTCCTCTGCCTCCTGTGGGCAGCGCTCAGGACCACCCTGTTCTCCGCCGCCTTCTCGCTCAGCGGCTCGCTGCCCCTGCTCCGGCCGCCCGCTCACCTGCACTTCTTCCCCCACTGGCTGCTCTACTGCTTCCCCTCCTGTCTGCAGTTCTCCACGCTCTGTCTGCTCAACCTCTACCTGGCGGAGGTAAGGCGGGAGGACGGACTCCCGGATCAACTCCTGCCGACGATCGGCAGGGCAGGTGGGAGGAGGGGAGGGGGACCACGCACCAGCCTGGGGAAACTGAGTCACGCCCGAGACGCGCCAGTGTTTGCGCCCTGAACTTAAGCAGCTGATTAACTCGATGACGGATGGGGCGGCGCGGGGTGGGGGGGGGTGGGTCTGGGGGAGCGTGAGTGAGAGTCTGTGCGCTCCGTCAACTTAAAACAGCGGGACAGCCCTTTGTCCCCGTGTTCTGGTCCTGGAAAGGCAAGGCGTTGGTGGCACCCACAAAGTGGCATCGCAAGAAGTAGCAGCCCCGGTAGCTGTGCCGAAGCCGGTCTGTGTAGAGGGAGGCTGGATGCTGAGGTAGCAGCAGTTCTGCTGAAGCTGGCCCGCTGCCAGCCATTACGTCACCAGGCAGAGCTGTTCCTCCGCTATTGTTGCTGCGTTTCTTTTATTAGAAGCTTATATTCCCTCCTGCATCTCCTTTCCTGTGGCTCCATAAGCCTCACACAAATTCCGTTCGATCGGTCCCCAGCAGGGTTAGCGATCAATAACCAATGCTGGCAGGTCAGGAGAAGGATCTCCGTCAAGCCCGTAATGTTTGTCCCAGTTGCTTCATGCTTTGGTGATTTATCCTACCCTCTTAGAGCATAGTCTGTTTTGGGAGGGTGGGTGGGTGAGAGTAACAGTTAAGAGACAAAAGACTAACTTACCCCGTGCCTATGGCGGAAGCAAACCACCAAACTGTTTTTGCAATAACTTGCTTAATAGCTGGGATTTAATCACACCCCCTTTCTCTTTAATGGGGAATTGCGGGTTGGGTTGCATTGTTCTGCAGCGCTTAGGTATTTGACCCATTTCAAACAGGTTTGGAGTGGAAGGTGTCAATCATGTGCGTCAACTAGTGAAATTTCAGTCATAGTGTTTTGATAATTGCCCCCCCCAAGTGTACCCCTTTTAAAAAATGCTAAGGAAGGGAGGAAACAAGGTGACATCATGTGCATAATTCCAATACAGAATAATATTGGTCTATGCAGCTAATCCTCTCAAAGCTTTTGGAGGTGATGAGAATTAACAGAGTTCTAAAGAAAAGTAAAAATTATCCTTAATAAGTAAGAAATGGAATGCATCACTTTAAAATCACAGTTATAACTTTCACCAGTTAGCATACTAAAAACAACAGCTAAGTAACAAAGCTAATTTAACTTTAATGGTTTTTCTTCTCCATCCTTTGGAAGCCCAAGCAATATGATGACAAAAAATCCAAACAGTAAGAAGCAGAAATAAAAAAGTATTAACAATCATAATTATGCCATAGTCCTGTCAGTTATTTAAGGATGTTTTAATCTTCTAATTGTTTAAGATGTTATAACACTTCTCTTCTTTTTTTCTTTTGAGACAGGGTCTCACTATGTAGCCCATGCTGGCCTCGAACTCACAATCTTACTTTAGCTTCCCAAACGCTGGGATTACAGAGCTGTACCAACACACCAGGCTGCATAGTACTTCTTTATAGTTAAACTGACTTCCGGCCACCATTTCTGACAGGATTGTAGTGACTTCTCATCACTGAAGCCTTATTCTGCTTCACATACAGTTAATTTACCTGAAATTTACTGGTCATCCATATGCTACTAGTATCAGATAACTTTTTCTCTGTCCATTTTAACTTAACTAAATCATATTAATGATACATTGTAAATAGTTGGTAGACATTTCAGAAAGTGACTAAACACTTAACACATAACCATAAAGTGCACAATCTTAAGTGTACAGCTAGATAAAAAATTTATGTACATATACACCATGTTACCACCACCTGGAATAAGATATAAAGCATTTCTGGAGTCCCAGACTGTTCAGTGAACCCTCTATCAGCAGTACCTCTCACCCCAAAGGAAATAAAGTGAATAAAAAAAAGCACCTATATTTAAGCCCAAAGTTCTAAAAGTGTGCTCCTATAGTATAAAATACCCTGAGTATCTAGTTTGGGTTTTCATACTTTTTATTGGTAATATTCCAAGCTCATAAGGAGAAATTTGAAAGTCTTCCTACTAAGTGACTCTCTTGTGTGGTGTACTTTGTTGAAAAATTGCTAAAACACTACTCTTTTAAAAAATATAATTTGGAAAGAAGGTGGGCTAACACTTTTTTCTCCTGCAGTATCTTAATGGTGTGAGTTGTTTATTCTTTTTGTAATCAAACTAACAATTTTAGGACATATATAGCTCTCAATAAATTTTCAACTTTTTTGAAAACTTGCTTAAAAAGAAAATTTCCCAATTCACTAGAGAAAATCATAGGAACCTGTATTTAAAAGAGTATTGTTTGAATTCAGTTTTTTGTATTAATTCTAGGTAACTGGAAGTATACTTAGGATTGGTAAGTGAAGATTTCCCCAGTGAATTCTTTATAGTATAACAAGGTGGTGGAGAATGTCTATATGTTGACAAATACAAAGCTGATATCTGATTTTTTTTAACCCAAAGCCTTGTCTTTACTGTCATATTAAATACAAAATCCATTTTATTTTTGACTTAAAGCATTTGTTGTATTCATTTCTCATTAATTGAAACCATCCTAACTGTAAGGACTTAGTTACAAAGTACCATGGCTTCATATGACTTCTCATACTTAACCTCCAGGAAGCAGATGGTTGAAAGGAAAAAAGCAGTACACTAATCTAAAAACATGTATTAGTCTTTTTCTGGAGGGATCAGTAGAACATGAACTTTACCAGACGAGAGTTCATACTCCTATACTTATACCAGAGAAGACTTCGGTCTTTAAAACAGATTATCTGATAAAAACCAGTGCTATCCACCATTAGGACATGTAAAAGGACTTAAAATGAGAGTTTAGTATACTATCTTTGGAACATTGTGATGCATGCCAAAATCAATGAGTTCATCTTTGAGATCCATATTGACATTTTTTCTTGCAATTTTATAATGTGAATGCCAGTTGCTTAATCAGGATAAAAACAGTGATTTAATCACAATGCCAAAACAATTAGGAAAATTAAAGTCTTAATTCTTATATTCATGGCTGCTATTATTGTGCCTGCCAGTGGATATACTCTTGCAAATATTGATGGCACCTTAAATAACATGCAACTGAACTTACAGATATGTTGAGGGGGTTTTATGTTTTGTGATTTCCCACAAAATTATTTTCATCAACTAGAATGGAGATTCCCTGAGAATAATAAGTTATTTTATCATATTTTTATATCACAACAGCCAGAACAATGCTGAATGTTATTGAATGACAATCTAAAAAGGTCAAAATCTAGAAAATATTTCTTATATGTGCAGAAACTTTATTTTGATGAATATTTGAGGTTAAGCTACTTGTGGACTGTCTGGAATCTTTATATTTTGTGCCTTAAATATTCCACATGTTATAAATGCTAAGATTCTCTTAGGTTATTATATTGGTTTAATTAAGTAAAATTAATTTTGATTACTACTGATAAATTCTCACTAATAAAGTTACTTTAAGATAGACTTTTGCTTTACAGAACTGTTTTCATATCATGGCAAATGGCCCATCATCATTAGGGCTTTACCAATTCAGTTTCAACAAACACTAAACAGAAAAGTCTATAAAACAAGTGTCACATAATGAATCAATTACTATTTATTGGAAATAGTTTAGCTCGGTGTTTGGCTTTTATCCATAACTGTGATTATAAACTGTTTTTTGTCTGAATCTACTAAACTACATTTTAACAACTAACGTGATCCTGTTTTTTTCTAAGACTCTCTATGAGGCAAGAGTTTCAGATACATATCTATCCAGAAGACATGATTATAATGCCTTACATTTTATGGATTTAATGTTTTCAAAGCACTATGCAACACTTATCTTCACAACCCATATGAAATAGAGAAGAAAAGGGTATGATTTTCCCAGAGTTATATGGCACACATGTATCAGATATGAGACTACTATTACTCTTCTTATAACTATGAGCTTTCCTGGATACCATTACTTCTTACTTAGTGCTTCTCTCTAATGTGTTTTCCTATTTTCACAGTTTTAAACCGTTTTCATGGTCTAGCAAACACTTTTTTCCCCATTCAATCTCAACATATGATCCTTACATTCTAGTTTAAAGAAGTAGAAGCTAGAGCCATCTGGTTGACCCGATCTTCAGAAACTCTCCTAATAGTGCTACTTAATATTTTCAGTGCATTATTGAGCTTGATAAATAAGGAAATTCTTCAAGGTCAGAACCCCCCAAAAAAGAGTGGGTACAGAATGATAAAATACCATACAGATGTTTGTCTTGGGGTTAGAAGTGATTATTAGCTGACTCCTGGTAGATCAGAGCCCAGATTTCAATTTTATATGTTACGGGTATAGGGAGGTGACATCATACCTTGTGATGAAGTTAGGCCTCATCCCCTACAGCATGTCTGAACCCTCATAGTGTACACTGTCAGTGGATGAACTAGGAAAATAAGCAGATTCTAAGAAGTTAGTAGTGGGACTTGTGCCATTCTGCCTTGGATCTGTGTGAAAGGGGTACTAATTGTGAAAGTTTTCCCTGAGAATGCATAACAAGCTTGGTCTCACACAACTTTTGAGGCCAGAGTTCACCTTGGTTCTGCAATTCTAAGAGTCGGTAAGGAGACCCAACCTGCAAAAAGTTGCCTTCACTGATAGTAAACTCACACACGTGAAGGAGCAAATACAAATCATCTGTCAAAGGATGCACTTTAAACCCAGAATCCTGACAGATAAAATTCTAAGAAACACAAACTCCAAATCAAAAAATCACTGGGAAATATTACCTACAAAGATTACAGATATCAGAATTATCAAATGTGTATAAGTTGAACATCCCTAATTAAAAAATCTAAAATCTGAAATCTGAAATTTTTGAGCACCAACATGATACCACAAGTGGAAAATCTATACCTGACCTCATGTGATGGATTACAGTCAAAGCACAGATACACAACAAAGCCCTG